TCATAGAGCCAAGGAGACCATGGTTGTATAGACTTCACCACAAGAGGACTTCATTTTGCAATCATGAGTCCCCCCCTGCTGGTCATAAGAAGAATGGTGAACCGTCATTTTTATCCCTCAGCCTGGAAAGGCTGATGGGGTATTGTCTAGCAGCATAGATATGCAAGTTTTGTGATGTGACGCCAGGATTGGTCTAATAGCCAGCACTGCAAACTGGCTTCACTTTTAAGCTGTGTCCATATTCTATAAACAGTCTATGGGCAAAATGCACTGATGTAGTACTAAACTGTCACACTGTCAGCTAACCTGAATAGAAAGGTGTCTCAATTACTCTAAAAGTTGCACAGAAATATTTGCAGAGGCACAACAACACATATCTTGTAAAAGAATGTTTCTCAACATTAAATATGAAGTGAAACTACAAAGAGAAAAAGAGGGGCGTGTCTCAATATGGTTTAGAAGAAAATCCAGCCAATCATTTCAAAGTGGAGAGCATCTAAAGAGCAGTGGAGTATATCTGGAATGGCTCAAAGGCCAAAAGGTTGGTGTGTTTTCATTGACCAGTTTAAAAACCGTTGTTGAATTTCTTGCTAATAAAATTATAACAACTAGAGAAAAAAAAAACTTAAGACTGCTTCTCTCCTACTGACCTCCGTTTTAGACCCCATTACTGCATTTCATCTATCTTAACCATCTCACTGTACTACATTATTCCAATGGAGCACATTGCTCTCAGACTGTGGGCTTTGTGCTTCCTAGAGTTTCCAAAAGCAAGAATCTTCAGTCCTTCTGTGGAACCAGATTCCTTAGGTTTCCTTTTGATAAAATTTATAGTTACAGCTGAATTAAGTGACTCTGACCACCGATTAGATAGGCTGCTGGAGGACTTTCCATCACGTACTATGCACTTCTTTTCTACTCCCCATGTCTTTATGTGCTAGTACTGCTTGTTATTCACTCTGCCTCACAGTTTGCATTGTGTCCTTGTCTCTCTGTGTCTCGTTTTTTGTATTTTCTTCCCCCTCGGCCCCCAGCTAGTTGTGAAGATGGCTGCTCCCTCCCTGAGCCTGGTTCTGCCAGAGGTTTTTTCCTAGTAAAGAATTGTTTTTCCTTCCCATCATGGCGAGTGCTGCTCATAAAGGATTGTCTCATTATCTAATATTGCAGGATCTTTGCATTACAACACAAAGAAACTTGAGGTGGCTGTTGTGGCGTTATGTTGGTGCCATGGAAACAGAATTTAATTGAGTGTTGGACCCTCCCCTGGTGGACACTGTAAAATATAATACAACCTCAAAGTATATTGATGAAGAATTCTATTTTATTATTATGGCTGTTTCTTTTACAGTCTGTTATGCGTTGTGGTTTGTTTTTTTTTTTGCTAACTCCTTTATACTTATTTCTTAGAACAACTTATTTTCTTTGCTGTGTTTTTGATATGATTGTTTTCATATTTGTAGATAAAATAAAAACCACGTTTTGAACAGTACATGTCCCCGTTAGTCCTTTGCCTACTCGGCCCCTCACACATCACTGCTTCCTTACAATGATACTGTCTTTTATCAGCATGACTGTCCTGAATTGATGATGAATTAGTGTATTTTTATCACGTTTGTGCTTTTCATGTATTTGTTTTTTAAAGATGTATTTGTATGTGTAGGTTTATTGTGACATTAAATTGAACCTATCAGCTTCTCAGAGGCTTGCTATTTTCTGCCTTACCTTATTTCCATCTGAGGTTCAGAACATTGTGCCCCTCTATCTTTCAACAATGAAGTATCATAAAAGGCATTTTGTTGTGTATTACCTTCATGGGCCAGCAGGTGTCTCCAAATCCTCATCAACTTGTTCTGGGTGTCCCAGCTTCTCTTTCAAAACCAACATAGTTTATGGAGAGGTGTAATGCGGGCAAAGAAGAGCGCTCTTCTAATTAGATTTTCCATAAACTAGATCCTTAAATAATGTAATGAGTTTACAGCCTAAGAGTTCAAACACTAAATTTACTCAGCCTTCTGTCTCCAGGCAGCATACAGAGACATTGTTTGAAGACAAATCCAGTCACGGCCCTGCTCTTACTTGATCTTTGATCCAGAGGTAAAGCAAGACCTGGGCTGCCATCAGCTGACTGTCTTTCTAGAATGATTTCATGAGCAGTAAACTGACACCTTACTGGCAAGAGCGGCCCTCTGGGTATGACTGAGAGTTCAACTCTCTTTAAAGAGACAGGGAGTGCACCACAAAATGTTACTTTAAGTGGATATATTCAATGTCTAATCTGCTCTTTTTATATATATATACAGGAAACAAGACTCCAAATAGTGTTATTAAAGTAGCAGATGTACCTTACTACACTGATAATACAAAATTTACACATATTTGCTCACCACGGCGTCTTTAATTCGCTTTAAGATGAACTGAACACGAAAATGTCAAATCCACATTTAGGGTCATGCTTGGCTTCATATTTGTTTAACAAATCGGCTGAGAGGCGACTGTAAAATTAGTCTGGTCTTATCTTTAATGAAAATTACTAGTTTGATAAGACCAGTGATGTTTATTGCCTTTACTTTGGGGGGATTTTTAAAAGAGCAGAACATCACTCGGCTGCAGGGACAAGCTGTCAGCTCCTGACAAACACCATGAAATGAAGAGTCGTTTTTACATGTCTGTACGTTTTCTTTTAATTGATCCTTAACCATTTTGTCTGTAACAACATTCAGCTACCACATTACAGTCAAACACCGATTACAGTAAAAGAAATTAAACCAACTCTGTCCTGCCTGTGAAACCAGGTAAATAACATCTTTCTTCAGTCCAGATGGTGCCCACAATAGTTTCCCTACGTTATAAAGTCACTCCACAATATTAGCTCGTGATGCTTGCATGCCAGCTGATTTCACTGTACCTCCGCATGGTGGTGGGTTTCAAGGCATCAATGTAATATTTATACAACCCCACAATTATTGGCTGTAAGGAGGCAGATAAATACATCACCTTTAGCAAGAAAACTTTAAAAACTTCAAAGGAGCCTGATGACAGGCAGGGGGTAAAAACAGGAGCTCAGAGGGGCGGTTTCAGGAGTGTTAACAAAAGCGGTATTTCCCAAATTCAGTCCACAACCAACTAAGAGCATTCACAGCAAGCAGAAGTCTTTAATCATATCTGTGCAAAGGTCAGACTCTCACAACTTGAATATGAATGCTGAGGGCAGATTCAAAATCAGCACCAGTTCCCACCAAAACTCCACACAGGCTTCATTGCCGTTTCACTTTCATGTAGCTGATATTAGATGAATTTTATTATTCATCGTTTTGAAAATAAAGTATATGGTGATAGCTCTGTTAGTCGAAAATACCAGACACATGTTGTCATGGAAAAGAATGAGAGACGACCCATCCTCCCAAGAAATTTTTTTAAATAATGTGATTAGTATGTACTCGTACAGACTCAACGAAAACAGGACTCTGGTTTTATGTTTGGTCACTTGAACAGCTGCTCAAAACTCATCTGACCTTAACAGGAAGTGAAACTTACAGCAAACTCCAGTCTGAGAATATACATTAACCGTCTGTTCAAATGGCCAAACATAAAATCATATTTAATGTGTAATGGCAGAAAAAAAACATTAAAATTACATTAAATATTGTGATCTCGGTGATCTTCTCATGACGTTGCTGACTTGAGGTATGCAATGAGGTCTTGGCGCTCTCCCTTCTTTTTGATGCCAGCAAAGATCATTTTGGTTCCAGGAATGTACTTCTTGGGGTTCTCCAGGTACTCCATCAAAGTGTCCTCGCCCCAAATGATACCTGAGGGAAAATGGTCATCAATGAGTCAAGTAGCAAGCAGGTGACGCCAAGTATCAGTGACCAGTTTAATGTGTGGCTTTAAAGAGGCCACATTAATAAATTTAGCATTTAGCTTGTATACAATCTTTAAGAAAAAAAGGAATTAAGGAATTAAAGCTGCCATTTATACAAGTCTAGTTTAGACTCAAAACGAATTAACTGAGGTGAAAATAAATGTCACCTAACACTTCCCACTCATTTGTCTGCTTCTTCTGAATGAATCACACTAGAGATTTGTTACAACTCTAAACAGTCTTGTAGCAATTGAATAGTTTATTGTACAAACTGTTTGTGTACTCCAAATATTTAAGTATCTGATGGCTTGTCAGATGACATACTGCTTAGTGTCAGCAGCCTGCGATGTCAAAACAGTCACACTGAGACAATAGCGGAAATTTTAAAGATCCGTCCTTTTGTCCTTGAAAACACCCATAACCTTTAAGAGTACTTCTCTCAAGCGCTTACTGTTGCTAAGCTACGAGAACACGTCTTTATCGCATCTACCATTATCTTGACTGATATCACACACCTGCCCCTTCTTGAGTTTGAAGTTGGGAGGGGAAAGTTAGAGAAGGAAGGAAAAGCACCACAGAGGGGCAGTTTTACACAAAGGACTTTGAGCGTGTTGGCCCCCAGCTTCAGCAGGATTTATAGAGAAAACAAATGGCGAGGGTGCTAAAAATCGCAGGGATCTTTAGGCCTGCGTGCACAGTGAAAGTGTCATGAGACCTTTTATGAAACCTAAAATGGCTTTGTCAAGTAATCCAACACCATTATAGTCAATGTGCACTGCATAACATAACGACCTCAGCAGGTTGTTATGTTGTTTTGGGTTTTTTTTTTTTTCATCAGAGCATCCAAGGCAGTGGCAAGAAAGATGTGGCACTCCTCCAAAAAGGGCCACAGGAGATCATTTTATTAACTTCACTTCAAGAGTGAGAAACACCAGAGATACACCTGCAGGTACAAACTGTGTGTGATTTGAGCTGAAAACCTGCAAGCCTCAAAATGTGAAAACAGAGGAGGATATGAGACTTTTAAAGCCCTAAAGAAAAAAAATAAGCTTGACTACTTTTAATATTAGATGCTTAAATGGGAATCCTTTGCCTTATTAAAAATAATAAAATGGTTTTAAAAAAAGACAGAAAAAACCTTTAGCTTGTAAGCTACTGAGACAACATATAAACACGAAATAGCCCTTTAAAGACTTCTGAATAAAAAAAGCAAAAAAACATTTGTGAACATAGAGGTTTAGATGCAAGTCCTTTGTCTACACACTTAGTCAAGCGAGGCAGTTTACAGAGAAAGTCCCCGAAAATCAATTTAAAATCCTTTAAAATAACTTCGATTTCAGACAATGCCAATCTCCCTTTTTTGGTGATCTATATCCAGCATATAAAGGTATTTATAATCTACTCAGAGACCCAGTGAACTGACCTTTGCTCTTGTTGGCGTCTGTGTAAGTGAAGCCTTCTGCCTGTCCGGTCTTCCGTCCGAACAGACCCCAGAGGTTGGGGCCCACCTTATGCTTGCCACCCTGCTCTACTGTGTGGCATTGAGCACACTTCTGGACAAAAACCTTCTTTCCCTTTTCAACGTCTCCCATAGTTGACTGGAGAAACAAAGCCAACAGGAAAAAGAACAGAATGAGATGAAAATGCAGTTTAAAAAGTAAAAGTATACAGAATTATGAAGGGCTCTTTAAATACACCAGACTGTCTTCTATCCATAGCCCAGTTAGGAAACTTAAAGCTCTAATTTGACCCCAGCGCCATTTTGTGAAGGTCACTTAAGGAGACAACTCCATAACTTTTACCATTTCTTTATCGTCGGCTCTAACTTTACAGTGCATTCAGGTAAGTGATCGCATTGCCCTGTGCGCTGGCACGACGCCGAGATTACCCGGAAAGCTGACAGAAGCAGCGTAGGAAGCCGAAACTACACCGCCCTTAGAACACGTTGGGCAAGCCACGAAGGGCCTCAGCTCGAGTTACTCCAGGGGGGACAGGTTGCCAGGTTTGGCGAGTAAAGGAGGACCTTTTTAATGATCTTGCGCCATGAGGCAAAAGGTTTACCGAGGGGAGCCAAGGTTAATGTGCTTAGCGGAAATGTGCTGTAATTACTAGAGCACCCGTGGCAGAGATCCGACCGGTGTTTCTGCCATAAAGTCGCTTCTACTTTGAGTTTCGAGGTTAAAAATGATGGTCTATCATCACTGGGGGAAACATTTTAGTGCAACACCACTAACATGACCCCCGGTCCCCCAAAATCCTTCTACCGCCCCCTTTTCATTAAAACTACCTACAAATCAACATTTTAGTTATCAGCTATCATTAAACGGCTAGTATTTTAGTAATTACATAACATAACGGCTAATTTTCTCATTCTAGTTCTTAAGAGACGAACCGCACCACATCGTTTTCCGCGTAGCCTCCAACATGGCGGCAGCCGGCTGAATGGCATCTCCCTCACGTAATATCAAGGGCATACACCCTTTACAACAAGTATCAACGTGTATTCGCGGTCTACGTGGCATTTTCGCCTGATTTTGACGCTTCGAATCGCTGACTCAAGCTCAGCCTGAACTCAGCTTGGGCCGACCATCGTGCTAGTAGTACGATAAGCCGGGTATGGGTCGCCCACCGGGGCTGTCAAGGATGCTTCAATGTCGGCGTACGGAAATTGCACTTCAAAGCTGCTGTGTTGCCCAAATGTTTTCCCAAATCACACAAGAGCCCAAGTAAAATGGCTATAACGTTTAAATTACCTTATTATTCCCCCATAGCGGGCAACGGAATGAGAACACAACCGGGCTATTCACCAACGTGTGCGCTAACTCCCGCTACATGCTACTGTTGCGACTCATATCCTGTTACTTATAATATAACCTCCACTCCCCTGTAAATACATTTATAAAGTATGAAATCTTACCTTTTTATGAGAAGATGTCGGGTTAAAAATACTCTACTGTAGGTAAGTAACCGTCTCAGCCTCGGCCGACAAGCGGTTTGTGACGGTCGCAAAGAAGGTCACTTCACTTTAAAGGCACCGGCTTTCGACGTCATCACAGCCAATCACGTGCCGCGAGATTACCGCTTAACCATTACGTGTCGTGTAGTATCATTTCTATATGTTTTTTTGTTTTCAGTTTTATTTGTCATATGCAAGTTAGCACAAGGTCAACATCGCAATGAAATGTATTTGACGAGCAGAAGATAGTCACTCAGCAGAAAGGGACAGTAGAAGAAAAATAAATAAATTAAAAATAAATAGAAATATAGTAAAGAGCAAAATATCAATATCCTCATCCATGTCATAGCTTTACTTTTATATAAAGAAGTCGTTTACTTTTTATGAAAAAAAAAATTAAACACAGAAAACACTAATATCGTGTCTATATGTAAAGTTTTACCAAGAACGCAGCAAGTCTTGTTATGTATGTGTGTACACGCAAGGCGACGAGGCTGAGAGCAAGAAAACGAAAGGGAGTTTTAGCACAGGTCCCAAGAATCTTGTCGCATTTCCTCCAGAGCCTTTATGGGGCAAACTGAACCTGCTTTTATGGAGAAGTTTCCTGAAGGATTTTGGCAACCGAAAGTACTCCACGTTTAACTTACCAAAGATAGCCTTTTAATTTAACAAAACTGACACGTAATTTAATAAGTCACTCAATGATCGTACACACTTAGGTACATGTACTCTCCACAAACCAATTACGAATAGAAAATGTGCGCATAATGTTTACAAATTATTAAATAAATTATATTTTCTTCTTTTTATGTCTTCTACTTGTAGTTTCTTATATTGCCTTTTGCACTCTACATCCTTATCCCAAAATGAACCCTCACTCGCGAAGTGAAATTTATGTGCCTAAATGATATTTATATTAAACATGAAAGACAAAAGAAAATGGAAAAAATAAATAAATAAAAAGGTTAAGTGGTAACCCTTGAGTGTTTTCTCAAGGTGACCCTATGTGTCCCCAGGATAGTAAAAAAGACTTGTTTTATTAAACACAAAGAAATATAGCGATCAACATTCACAACATGTGAAACTGGAATACTATTATGACAGAAAGCGGCTGAAAAATCTAAACGTTTGTGCTCAGAAGGGTCATTCAGCACGTGACCTGTAAGCACCTAAAATACACCTAGACACCAGCGATCGCACGCGCGCGCACACACATGCAAACTAGGATGCTTTCAAAAATAATAATAATCTACCTGTGCAGCACATCATATTTGACAGCACGTGTTTTATTTAAAAATCATGGTCTGACATTATAGATATACTCCCACAACTTTTCTGGTCGCCTGTCCCCAGCACGAATGTGACTAACTCTATCATCTGTAACGAAGGGCTAGCTCCCTCTTATTTCTTTAAAGAAATACACACAGAGGCAGACAGACAGAGCTCAGGTAACTATTTCACAGCTGATCCCTGATGAGTGTAATCCTGTGTCAGGTATTTATAGAACACGATTAATAGGATTGATAAACCATCAGGGGTTCTCGTTTGGTGATAAGTCTCATTGCTCATGTTAATTAACGTGTTAGTTACAAAACCTCTCTGCAGCATCTTTTCGTAAGACCAGGGTATTTTGTAACACCTGCATTTCTCCTTCCCGTGCTGCAGAGGGCAGTAAACGCAAATGCGTGTCATCAGCGCCGCGGATGCATTTAAAACTGTCGGAATTTCTACAATTAATTCTCTAAAGTTCTGATTTGACAGCGAACAAAGCAATTCACTTTCTAAATGTTTAAAGATTTAAAACAAAAGTACTAAAACAAGATTTAATCTCATGCCTTATAAGCATTCTCTATGCACGATTCAATTTCATTGCTTCTCTGATTCATAACGTTTTCAAATGCTTGCAAATGGCTACTACAAGCGCTAAGTC